TGCAAGATCTGAGTCATATATATATATCAATCATTTACAAGAAATGTTCTGCCTTTTCTTTACCTGTTTGGTGTTTTTGAATACAAAGCATGTGTAACGGTTCGTTTGCTATGAGAACCGCTGCAAGATGAATCTGACGAAGTATTGCTGCCCCTGACGCAATCATAAATACAGACAGAAGGTGGTGATACATCAGTGCTACCAATTCGGGCCTCGAGAACACCTCCTTTATGATGCACGCTTAAATCCAAAGCTCGTCGTCCGCCCTCTTTGCATCCAGGAACGTTTTCACCTGCTTATAATCCCGGCATACATGCTTCGCATCCCAACCATCACTACCCTCGAACCCAGGCGGAAACGTCGTCTGCGTGCCCTCAAGCGCCACATCACCACAGCAGAGAATACTCTGGCGGAGGTATTCGAAGCAGTGCTGTAAGTGAAAGCCCCCGTCCTCCGGGTCGTGGGCTTCGCCGCCATGCTGATCGTGCTCGTCCTCGGCGCCGCGCCGCCAGCTGGCTGCACCCGGCTGGAGGGAGGCGAACTCTTTGACGATGGCGTGGAGGCAATGCAACTGATGTGTTACGCTCGTAGTGAAGACGCGCTTGGGCGCGTATTCGGGGAGGGGTGTAGGGAGGTTGTTGAGATCCTCGGCTGGGGTGGTGTCGAGGTAGCCGAGCCCACGCGGAATGAGGTCGAGCCATGCATCCTGCGTCTCGTTGGAGAGAAAGGTCGAGAGGTTGGTAGGGATATAAGTCTCGGACGGCGAGAAAGTCGTCAATTGTTGGGAGACTTTGGCTCGTGTCAGCAAGAGCGCTACAAGATCTGCATCTCATAGGGTATGATGGGAGCCGCACACTCGGGGATAAAGCCCGTGATGTCGCCATTCTGCGACATTCGGTTGGGGGGTTCTTGCTGTTGCGTTTGGCGGTCGAGGACGAGAAGGAGAATAATTATTAAGAGTGATGTGTCGAGGATCCAGCGCCAGCGGGAGAGAAATCGAAAAACTGAAGATGTTTGTGATTTCTGGCGCTCGACGTCATCGTCCCAAGGTTGGGATTCGCCGCTGTGTAGCAGTGCTGCCTTGGGTTCCGCATTGAACCGAACTTCTCTGAAGTCGTCGTCTTGGTAGGGTGATGTGTCGCGCTGCATGATAGGAAGCTCCAGGCTTTCGATGAAAAGGATCCGTGCAAAATAAGAACGAAAGATCGTACAATGAAAACAAATGATGAACTATATCATCATGAAGTGAAGTGGTCCGAAAGAAACGAAAGTCCGTACTCTGAGTGTTTGAGTTGATGGTTCTTCGCAGCTACAGATGAAGTATATTGCTCTATGAAGTCGGATTTTCGACGCTGAAACGGTCAAGGGGGAACTTCAGATGGCGGGGGTTCTGGCAGGTCCTCTCCTGGGACGAGGTTGCAGTTTCGGGGCTCTGAAACGAGACGCTGGTTCGCGGTGGAGCAAGCTCTGACGGACACTGTTTGAGAATGGGGATGAGATAGGCTCAACGGACGATCCCCCATGAGTTGAGCCCAAAAATGAATGTGAGATCTTGGCGAGCCTTCACATATCGAAGAGAGTTATGGGGCCATTATGCTTAGGCATACGGCCGCGTGGGTTGGTCGTCTACGTGCCCATCAAAAGATCCCCGCCTGGTGATGGCGTGTCTGTTCGTGGGCCGGCGTACGCAGCCTCCTCAGCTCGGAAGCTTCGGTTTGGGCTATTCATATGCTGCTCATCAATTGATCAATTCGTCAGCATCCCGATGAAACCTATATACGCGGGTGATGCTGGAAGGAACACGCGCGCGCGATACATGGTCAAAGGCGGGTGCGCTGCCCCCACACCCAGCGATTTTACTCCAGACGCCTGGATCGACGCATAGTGGAAGCAACGTTAGCTGCAGTCGACGAACATGGGTCGACGCTGCCCAAACTACTAATCATCAACCGCTAAGGGGTATGAATCACGGGTCAGATCTCTAAAATAAAAATAAGATAAAATAAAATGTAGGCTGCCAACGAGAAGGAAGCACTCTGGCTGGATCCCAAATTGTTAACACAATCAAGCATGGGTCCTTAGGTGTCATGCTGCCGCAGTGCTGCAACGCAGCCGCTCCATATGGAACCTTGGCATGATCGATGGTGTACATCAGCCATGACTAGTTGATTATGTAGCCAGATGGAGAATGGTGTGCTCTGGCGCCTGGCTGGTTTGGGATGCTTGGGTAAGGATTGCAAGCACAGCACATGTCGTCAATGGTGCTTGTGTGGTGTTGAATCCCGACTTGTTAAGCAGTTACTCAGCTTGAGTGATGATGCCCCTCAGTGGGGCCGCTGCTGGCCATGCTACGTCAGGGCTAGCGCGGGGCAAGCTTCCGCCGGCCGCCAGTCGTGGGCGGGACGAGTGACGGAGGGGTAGAGCTCCATGAAGCTCCCCTCCCTCCAATGGGAAGAACATTTGGGACGAGAAGAAAGGAGGGGCTAACCCATCTCAATGCCACCATGGATCAACTCGTTGGCATCGAGGATGTGATGGCGCCCGCCCATTGTCTCGTCCGCGGTACGCACCGTGTCGTATCTGGTCGCCGACAGGACTGGACAAGACCAGGGCAGCTTGGTGAACAGCTTGATGTATAAGAGGGCATGGTGTTCCTCGCCCTCCTCGGCTTCGACTTGCTATCCATCCCATCTCTTCATCCAGTATCACAGCTACTACTTTCGCACACAAAGCTCATCCCTCTCGTCTCAAACACGCTTGTAGAAAAGTCACCATGGCTCCCAAGATCGCCATCGTCTACGTAAGACCGCCCCAGCTCACTTCCCTTTTTCTTCTCCTATCCTCAGGTGGACCGGCTTCCTGCTTGAGAAGATGTCTGTTTTCCCAAGGACGTCCGATACTCGTATCTCTTGAGAACGGCCGAGACCTGAAGGTCTACGGGGCTCATGCCCCTCTCCAGATACCACACCAATAGGCTCTCAGATGCATTCATCGTATGCAAGATCGTTTTAGCGGCCACCTTAACGTGCGGAGTTCCGCGCCCATCTACTTCACCTCTCGCGGCTGGAGAAAAGCATCAGTCCACCGTGACCGGTTTTGGCGAGTATGACTGATTTGAGATACATGCTGACGGTTTGTTCCCTCTCAGTACTCCACCTACGGACATATCAGGCAGCTGGCGGACGCCGAGAAGGCCGGAATCGAGAAGGCCGGTGGCACCGCCGACCTGTATCAGTATGTCAACCCTTGTAAACTGCCCACTAGCTGCTGAACGTTGCTCATTCGGTCCTCAGGATTCCCGAGACCCTCTCTGAGGATGTCCTAGCCAAGATGCACGCCCCTCCTAAGCCAACAGACGTTCCCGTCCTCGAGGACCCCAGTGTCCTCGCCGAGTACGATGCCTTCCTGCTGGGCATTCCCACTCGTTACGGCAACTTCCCCGCTCAGTGGAAGGTATGTTCACAAAGCATTGTCAGGGCAGAATACCCCTTTGGGCAAAAACTAACATTCATGACTCCCCCAGACTTTCTGGGACAAGACCGGCAAACAGTGGGCGACCGGTGGCTTCTTCGGTAAGCTGGCTGGCGTCTTCATCTCGACCGGCACTCTCGGCGGTGGTCAGGAGTCTACTGCCATTGCCTCTCTGTCCACCCTCACCCACCACGGCATCATCTACGTGCCCCTCGGCTACGCCAAGACATTTGGCCAGCTGTCCAACCTTGAGGAGATCCACGGCGGCTCTCCCTGGGGCGCCGGTACCTTTGCTGGTGCAGACGGCTCGCGCCAGCCCACCAAGCTGGAGCTGGAGATTGCCACTCTCCAGGGCGAGCAGTTCTACCTCACCGCCAGCAAGCACTTCAGCTGAAGGGCTTGAAGCCGGTTTGCCAATGGTGCTAATAGAATAGCGAAATTGAAACACAACGATCTCTCCATGTGATATTCTTCGGTTGCTTTCACTCCTATTCGCCATCGTGTCGACAGAACGTTGCTTCATACATGTGATATCTATTCGTCTAGTGTGTGAGCTCAAGCATCGCGAAGGCCCACGTGGGAATCTATTGTCCCATGGTCTTGGAATCGAGGATCGCGCCCGCGGTACGTAAGAGCAGTAAACTTTTTGGACAACCTGAAGACTAGGTGAGGGGTAGCCACTAAGTTTAGCAATGCCCCAATGCACGGTGTAGCAACCGTAGTCCAGGGCTCGCACAGACAGTGCCAATTCGTGAAACATGTTCATGTCGCGCAAAGATGCTTCCAAAGACGCCGAAACCTTCCCTGACGGTGCTCGGTTTTCAAGGGGCGGTGCGCTGATCGCTGCAAGCCCCCTCGGACCTGAAAGGATAGTCTGCTCGGCCGGGCTCAGCATGTTCCTCGACCGCGTCTTGGTATTGTCGAATAATGAACTCGCGCCTCTATCATGCCGGCTGTCTCGTCGTTGTGAACGAAGCGATCTGGGCTATCTCGGAGCTGTGAGCTGGAAACCGGCCGGTGCTCCACCTGTCTCGGCATGTGGGAGGACTCATTCCAAGCATTCCATCCCAACTTTTTGACCGAGCCTGTTTCCGAGCCTGACTCAAAAGATGCTCAACCCCCGTTGGCTACCGTCACCTTGATACCACCTGGGACTGTTTCCACGCGTGACAGGCGCAAAACTCAAGGTGTCTAGATGCATCAGGAATGGAGAAGGCGCCGCCGGGGAATCGGCGGAGCCTCTCCTTCCTCGAGTGGTGAGCATGGATGTGCACCTACCTCATAACTCGGGACGTCCCTTCAAACGTTCGGTGTCTGTCGTCACTGCCCGCACTCGAATTCCAGGGCACGGGCATGGGAATTCGATGTTATTTTGTCCTTTTTGGCGCTTCTTCCCATCTTTCACTGTCTACTGCGTCCTGATTCATCTCCCCTGTGAGACTATTCACGGTGTCTGCGAACCTTGATCACTCAATCAAACAAACGAAAGAGAGGGACATCCAAGGGTGCCTTTCAACGACGACGACAGAATGGCAGCGAATCCGCGCCGGTTCGTGCAGATGCTCTGGCTGGCAGCTGGCCTCCTCTTCACGATCGCCTTTCTGCACACCTCTCCTGCTGGCGGCCATGCCAAGGCCTGGGTGAGCGACAAAGTCGGCCAGTATGCCTCTGTCGACAGCAGCCGTCTGTCGATGAAGGATCACATGGCTCGCGCCGAGGCGAGCTGGGCCAAGACGGTCAAGCAGCGCCACGACATGATCGTTGCCGACTATGGCGACGTCTCCAAGATGCCTCTGTGAGTTCTGCCACATGTCAGCTTCCTTCTGATGAGTACTGCTGAACGAGGCTTTTCCACGCAACAGCTTCCCTTCGACCGACTCGGCGTCCTATCACGTGCATCCTTACACCATCTGGGACTTTACGCCGGCATCGTACGGCTGCCCCCACGAGATCGAGCGTGTCGGCCGCATGGGCGATGGCGGCAAGTGGGTGTGCGGCATGTCAAGATATGTTGACTTCCCGGCCGACAGGCAGTGTATCATTTACTCCTTTGGTGTTCGGGACGAGTCAAGCTTTGGTGGGTGATTGTGGATGAAAAGCGTCCTCCGGCTCGACTGAATGCTGATACATCTGCGCAGAGAACGAAATGTTGAGCCGAACAAACTGCACCGTTTGGGCATACGACTTCTCGGTTGTCGACTTTGGCGAGCAGCTTGAGACCTGGAACCGCGATCGCGCCCACTTCCTTCAAGCTGGCATTGCGGGCAAGACAGACAAGACGAAGAGCCCGCCGTTCTACAGCATTGCGGAGCTTATGAAGATGAACAATCACGAGTACATGTAAGTGAAGACGCCCTGTTCTCAACTTGCGAGATTAGTCCGAACTCTGCTTACCCTTGCACCAAGTGATATCCTGAAGATGGACATTGAATTCGCCGAGTTTGAGGCCATGGACGGCCTCAACGACGACTTTCCCCTGGCCCAGGGACTCGAGCTGCCCATCGGCCAGCTGATGGTCGAGATTCACTTCTTCAATGGCTTCACCTCGAAGAACTACCTGGACTGGTGGGAACGTCTCGAAGCCCGCGGTTTGCGCCCGACCTGGACCGAGCCGAACCTGCTCGCCGTCACGTTGAATCTCGCTGGTGGCAAGGACCCCATCCTGGCCGAATACACGCTAATCAACGCTCACGACAAGCGAAACATCATTTTTGGCAACGTGGACTGAGAGGGACGGAAAGAACTCGACGGGTGAAACATGAGTGTGTTCATGGCGTATGCGTCCTTTGTATTATGAATCGAGGCGTTCCGGTGTTGGAGGGGATCATGAGAGGAGCGAGAGGCGTCGGATCCTGCAATTGAAATACTATTCATCATGTTCAGATGTGAAAGATACCTACGCAAGACACCAGGCTTCCCATGTCCTCACAACGCGACTAGATTTCGCCGAGCGGAAGATTTCATGATCAAGCACCTGGTAAAATTCGTCGTCATGGCAGGCACTCCGAGTAATGTATTAGACTTCTCTCGTGACATCCACTCTGCCATGATATCTAGGAATGAATGGCAGTTCATATATAAGGCCTCAGGACATGCTCCACTAGACCATGAAGAAAAACGACTCCAAACTCCGTTTTTCGCAAAGATGTGGTAAAAAAACTAAAAAAAAGAAGAGGACAAGAGCAAATATCAACCATCTTCCGAGCTAAATCATGCCAGCGTCCTTTTTGAAGAAGGCACAAATACCCTCCATGCAATCAATGCTCCTAATCTCACCCTCCGGCAACATGGCGTCTTCCCAGAGAAGCTCGTCGACAAAGTCGCCGAACGGTCGCTGGCCCTCAGAGCGGTGCGTGCGGTCAGACTTGCGACGGACGCCCTCGACAAAGTAGACGCCGCCGGGGCTGACGATACGCCAGAGGTCGCGCAGGGTACGCTCTTGTATGTCGTCGGTGCCGGCGCCGTCGTCAATGACGATGTCAAAGAGGCCATGTACAGTGGCTTGCTCGACGAACTTGTCGAGGAAAGCCTGGTCGCCCTGGTCACCAATGAAGATGGCGGCCTTGTCGTTATACGTGGCAAACTCCTTTGCGCAAGTCTCATCGATCTCGAGATAGGTGAGGGAGAGATGGGGAAAGTAGGAGGTGAAGGTGCGGTAGCTGGCGCCCACCTTGGCGAGAGGGTAGGGCGAGTTGTCCGGGACGGAGTGGTACGTCTCGCAGCCGAGTCCGATTTCGAGGACTTTGACGTGGCGGTCTCGGATGGCGGGAAGATACTTCTCGTACATAAAATGGTGCTTTGTCGTCGTGGCCTTGTGGGAGCCGTATTGCAGGGCAATGTCGCGGAAGGAGAGGCGTGGGAGGGAGGGGTCGGGAAACGGGTCGGCGCTGATTCGAGTTAGAAAGACATGTCGGGGATAAAGCATCAGAATAGCAAAATGCCAGGCGAGGGTCCTTTCCACTCACGTTTTCCAACCCCAGGACGCCTTGGTCGGGATGCCGTCGATTGGCCGGCGTGTGAATGTGTAGATCATGAAGATGCAGGTGACAATGGCGAAAACGAAGACGGCTCGCACCTCGGTCTGGCTTTGCGACTTGAGCTTCATCTTGGCCGGCGCTGCCTTTCAAACCTCGGGATCTGCGACGAAAGGAACAGTTCGTTGTCTGGTACCAAGAAAAGGAGGCTGCGTCCCGAAGATCGCACGAAGTAAGTCAAAGAATGTAAAAAGAAAATCTCAATGGAGCATGAGAGAGCGGTCGATGTTCTCGACCAGCTCGACTACGGCTGTGGGCAGGACGGTCTGTGTGCGTGTGTGTATGTGAAGGATGGACGGCAAGGTAAAGGCCGGACAGGAAGAGGGAAAAAGACAAACGGCAGCCGAAGGGATGAAGTGGGCGACGACGGACGATCGCATCTAATCAATTCCTTGACCGCGGGAGGTGGTGGCACATATCTCTCCTCGACGGGCAGGCAGAGGCCGTCAACCCTTCCTTCCCATACCCCCTTCCCCCAAGGACCAAGGACTTACTTGGTCTTGGTGGGGACCCTGCCCAAGGAACGTGTCGCGGCTACAGAGTCCACACCTCAAACGACACTCGCCTTGCCTGAGGAAGACCAGTGTATGAACATGGTCGGCGGGGGGGTCGACTCGCTGCGAGAGACCTGTGAGGAGAGGAACGACTGGTGATCGTAACATGTGCTCCGGGTGGAGAGGCACTGGAATGCTTAGGAAGGGGTCCCGTCCCTCGCGAAGCGAACCTGCCAACATCTGGTTGTTGCGCCTTCGCGAGCGGGGCGGAGGCGGAGGTGGGAGCTTGCTGGTTCTCTCCCACTCGAGCCCTGCAGCATGGCGGCAGACAGGAGGCACATTGGTTTTTCCATGTATGAGCCAAGAATTTTGCCATACCAGTGGCTTCAATAGTTGTCCCTGGCGTCGTTTGGTCCGGACATCAACCTGCCGGCAGCCGTGCCCAGTCCTGAGAGGCGCGAGATGCACGAATGTTTGACGTGGACAGGGGCGATGTGCGTTCATCATCAGAGAAGTGAGACAACGGGCAGCTTATTGGCTGCACATTTGGCCGCTGCTGACCCAGGGACGGGAGTGGCGGGACAGCTCACGTTGCTCTGGCTGCCGCCTTCGTCGTTGCTCCCTTGAAGGGGGAGGAGGGCTTGGGAGGGCAAAGGTTAGCTGGGAGGCCAGAAATGTGCATCCGTTAGGCTTCATTCCAGCGACTGGTCACTACCTACTGCTGTACTAGCCAGCAGTACAGTAGAAGCGCCACATCAATGAGGCAAGGGGTTCCGTGGGCCAGACCGCGCTAGGGGTCATGGCTTCACCCTGACGAGGTCGAGCACGAGTCGTCCACCAGGATCCCTCCCCCTTCACACGCGTCGTACGAATGGACTGGAATCAATGATTAATTGATGCCTACGAGAAGGCCGACTACATGGGTATCATTTATATCCTACATCGCTTCCCTCACCCACTTTCCATATCTGTCCTGCTCTGACCCCTCCCCTTATTTCCTCACCAAGTGCGTTTGTGAGCCCCAGAACGGGTTCGGCTGAAACTTGTTCATCTCCATGTCGCTGGGAGCACATGCCTGGCCATCAGACAGATCGCACGGCGCCACCCTCAGCTCGCCCCGAAGGATCTCAACCATGGACACCAGAGGAAAGAGCAGCACGAGGACGGAGAGCACCTGACCGAAGCTCCAGGCCTCCTCACCGGGCGCCAGCTCAAAGCTCGGCCCGTGGCCGAGAGCGTCGGACGCCAGCACGCACCGAACAATGGCGCCGGCGGCCAGGGCGCCCATGAGCAACGTGCCCATAAGCTTGACGATTTTGGCGAAGCGCTGGATCCGCCAATGCAGGTACCAGCTCGCTAGGGCGAATACGAGGACGTTAGCGGCCATGACGGCAATGGTGCCAAAATAGCTGAGGCCGCTACGGTTCGACGAGCCGTTGCCGCTGTTCGTCTCCCACACGCACGAGATTGGGATGGGGTCGTCGGCGAGGCCTGTCTCGACGGCGCGCAGGATGAACACGCCGTAGACGACGGAGAGGCCGAGATTGACGAACATAAGCAACTGTCGCAACCAGCGCAGGACCCAGTCGCGGCGAAAGTCGTGGACCAGAGACAGCAGCGTCGCATTGTGAACGGCCTGCGAGAGAAGACCGAGGCACCAGATGACAAAAAAGTGGTAGGGCAGCATCGTGTCCCGCTTGGCGAGGCCGACTGCATGGATGCCGATGCCCTGCAGAATCTGCTGATCGGAGTAACTGCTGAGAAGCCGCCGTCGAATGCTCGAGGTTTTGTTTCTGAATTCGGAGAGGATGATTGTGAGGCTGAGGCCCAATGCAAGGATGGCCGTGAAGAAGAAGGACAGGAGAACCTGATTATGGCTTGTCAGTCGCATTCAGCGTTGCCGTGTCGCGGCGTTTGACTTACACCTGTGCCCGCGACACCCGCGTCGCTAGGGACGGGGCCCTCTATCGTCGTGTTACTGCATTGTGGTGCCATCGTTGTGTGAAGGGGAGGACGTGTCGGTCGTACCGCGCTGACCGAAATGCTGGCGGGATCGCGTCGCAATATGAAGAAGAGCAAAACGGACCCAACCTCTGGCTCGTCGTTTTCTTTCACTGCCTTTCCCTTTGAGACAACAGAGAGAGGGATCTACGGGATCGGGCTCTGGAGCCATGGGGCGAATTCCAGGGGTTGGAAAGGGCCTATATAGAGATGACGTCGTAAGCGCCGCTCTATCCGCCCTTCAGGGATGAAACCACCCCACCACAGGCCGCCGTAAGGGAAGACCCCTGGCGCCCGCGATGCACTGGCTCGCATTGCTTGAACTTCGGCGTGGCAGTGCATCCTGCGTCGTCGTGCGATGAATGGGCTTCGAGAGCCTCCATCCTGGTTGTCCACACTTGTCGATCCTTTGAACAATACCCGGGTGGACAGCCACAGGATCCGCCCTTTGAGCCGGGGTTTGCAGCACGTTATACAAGAGGATTGGAGCGAACGGAAAAAGAGAGACTTTTTGAGTAAGCATGGGCAATGCGTTCGATCGAAACTTGTCCATCACCTATTTCCTAGCAGACAGGACCCTGCGTCGAGCCGGCAAACCCCAGAGCAGAGAAGGCGCCGGCACCCACGAACCGAAAGACGGCCCACGCATGGAAGCCCTCGTTCCACTCGACACAACCGTCAACAAGAGCCAGTGAGCCAGCCATGACCCCCATGATGGTGTCGACAACGTCGTACTGGCCACGCGCGTAGAAGAGCGCCATGATAAGGCCGAGGCTCATGGTGCGGGCGTGGCCGACACGGGCGACGGGCCACGTCTCGGGACGGTCGGCGATGCGGGCGGGGAAGCCGAAGTGGATGAGGCTGGTGCGCGGGTTGACGAGGGACCAGGCGCCACCGAGACCCACGGCCAGGTTGCGTAGAGCGCTGACATGTATCGGAGTGAGACGTCGCTGAACATGTCTGCCGTTTTGGAATGTGAGATGAGACGGCTACTTGATGTGTTCTGGAAATTCTCGTAGCTTTGACGTACGTATCTATGTGCGTTGCCTCAGACGAGGGCAAGGGCCATGATGACGTGAGATGGAAGGATTCACGACTTGTGGGGTGGAAGGAGTTTTGAATGAATCGTCACAATTTCTGGCATCGGAGCCATGGTCTCGCAGCTTCTGGAGAAAGAAGCAGGCGGCTGCCATCGTGGGTACCTGCCCAGGGACCTACGTGTGTTGTCGCCAGGGCAGGAGAGCCCGGACTCGACTACTACCGTCAATGAGGCCAGATATGCGTCAGTTTTCCGTAAAAGACAAGATGAACGCAAGACGTAGTTCTTCAAGACCACATTTTTCTAAAGCATACCGACTACCAACGCTGCTATCTGCACCTGTTGTAGCACCGAGCACACTCACTGGAAAAGGACCGGCACTTCCTCCGTGTACCGCTTCTCCTTGCCCTCCGCAAGGTACGGATCGAAAGACTTCGCCGTGCCCACCGCACACTCCTCAAACGGAAGATATCCCTGCCCACTGAGCTCAGTCAATCGACTGCCATCCATGCCAACCTCCTCAGCTCCCCATGTCACAAAGTCGGCAGGGTAACCCTTTCCCGGCGTTCCCTCCCGGATGACATCCTTCCGCTCGGGGATTTTCTCTCGCAGAACGTCCGCAAAAGCCTGACGCCCGACCCGGTAGGCGGCCAGCAGGAATCTCCGCCCCTTGGCCTTCTCTGGCTCCTGCACGCCAAAGACAATCGCTTTCGCGACGTCCCGCACGTCGACCCAGGTCGGCATGGGAAACTCGTCAGGCCACACGGCGCCCGCGTAGATATACCACACCGTCTTCATGCTGGGTGTCATGCTGTCCGGCTCCGCAGGCCTCACGAGGATCGGACCGGCCACAAAGGAGGGGCTGACCACCGCTCCTGTAAAGGTCGACTTGCGCTGGGGATCGCTGAGATGGTCCCAGAACGCCTGCTCCTCGGCGACCTTGACCGCCCCATACAGCAGGCCGAGGCCGGCCTCGTCGCCAGCCTGCAGCGAGAGGTCAATGTATTCGGTGTTAAACTCGTCGCCAGTGTAGCGGTAGCCCGGCTCGTCTTGAAGGCGCATCATGGCGGCGAGGGACGAGACGAGAACGACCGATTTGAGGGTGGCGCCGGCGTGGGCCTCGGCAGATGAGAGGAGGTTTTGGGTGCTCCTTCTGGCGCGCTCGATGATGGCTTTGGGCCCGCCGACGTATTCGTCGAAGCGAAGGCCCGGGGGAGACGTGTGGGCGATGGCATGGACGCCCTTTACCGCGTCATCAAAGGCACCATCGGCGTTGAAGTCGGGAATGCCAATGACTTGCAGCAGGCCAGCGTCGATATGAGATTGGAAAGCTTCGGAGAGACTGGCCTGATGCTTCTCGAGAGACCGGACGGTGCCCCTGACGCGGTAGCCGGCGGCGATGAAGGCGGCGGTTGCGGTCGAGCCAATGTGGCCGTTGACGCCCGTCACGAGCACGATGGGAGAATCATGCGTCGCCATTGTATACTTTTTGGCCGTATGAATATCCAGGTGAGTGGTCAGAGGAACACGAAGATGATGAAGGGGAAAAAAATGGTTTCCGCGTTGAACTTGAGGCGTGGCAGAGCAGGTGAAGTACCAGCACGCCCCTTCTTTATCTTGCTGACAGGACCCATCATCTTACCCCTCCTTCCCCCCGGACCCCCTTGCGGCGAACAATCAGGTTGGGAACAATGGCCGACAGAACCCACGAAATGCTGACGCTTGAATGCTCCCCAAGCCTCGGCAGCTGACCAGGCACCGTTCTCTTATCCGCGCATACATGACTGATCATCTCTATGAACTTCAAGCTCGGGCCGCCCACCAGTTAGTCAAGCTCCCCCCTATTGCCCCCCGTTGCGCTTGGTATCGTGGTAGTATCGTGGCCGCCGTACTGGCTCGGTTGGTCATGTGTGTTGCCTGATTAGGCGTACAAAGGGGGAGACGGATGCCTGTCATAGGCCGTGACAGTGGTGGCACGATCGGGCTAACGGCCCCCCGCACGCGCCACGAAGCGTGTAATGCTATTTGCCAGAGGACCAGCTTTTAGTGTGTGCTGAAGCGAATACAGCACTGGTTGGCAACTCAAGTGAAAGAAACCTAGGCGGACAGCAAGAAATAACAGATCAGATGTCTAAGGTATCTGGGTAGGTACGCTGGTCGAATGGGAGCCTCTTAAATATGCCATCAAAGTGCGTCAACCATTTCACTCACCATATTCACAGCCATAGCAACGATAACGACACAGTATGTGACATGGACCGGTAGACATATCCTATGCCGAAATTCACCCATTGATCACAACCGCCAGATTAGAGTACCTGGGCAAGGCACTTGAGGCACTGAATCCCACGCCGGGTGGTGTGGTTCGCGCAAAATCAAGTTCAAGGACTTGGACCATCGCGTCAACGCAGCCAAGATTCTCGTGGAAAAACTGGGCCCAGCTCACACTCACCTCGCTCACTGCTTCGGGCGCTGCCTCGCCCACAGCTCGCCCATGGCAACGTCGGCTACTGTCAATTTCTGTCTGCTCGGGGACCTGGCCGCTAATCGCTCGATCTGTGTTTGGTCGTCATGATGCGTAGTTGACCGGAAGATCAGTGAGAAAATGGCATCATGTGATTGCATTCTCATGCAGGTTTCGTCACAATGTATTCCGAGTATACTTGTTGGTTCGGCGAAAGAGTTCATCGGCTTGCTTCCCCGGGCGCGTGTCGTGTCGACTGATCCTGGCAAGGAGAGAACGTCTCGCAGGCCATGGCGAGCCTCTACAGCTCTGCGCACAGGGGGGCCTCGGGCATCTACAGCCCTGTCGGCAGGGGGTCCAGGCTCGCCTCACCCCTATGGAGATATCCGCTCGCTCCCGACGGCTTCCTGGGGCCGAGCTGGCCGTTGGCCATCGTGGCTGCCACATTGCCAAGAGACGACTCTGGCGATGCTCATATTTGACAATTACCTGCAGCTCGATGTCGCCACTGGCCGTCGATCTCGCCCTGTCGTGAGCCATGTTGTGAAGGGTAGCACCGGGGAAAATGGCAAGATGAGGATCTGAGACAACAACACTGCAGCACCCCTGGCGACGACCGTTGGGGTCGGGAATGGCATGCAATGAGAGTTGCTCTGGCCTTCTTGCCAAGGCACTTCCTTTCTTGCATCACCCTGTCGTCGAGTCGTCGCATCGGGCATCTTCTCCTTCGTCAAAATTTATCCCCACCTGGCCTGTAAGGAGGAAACAATTCGCCATACCGCAGCTCGGCGTAAGATTGTATCTCTCCACGCTCCGACCTCAAGGACGGATTCCGTTGGACGCACCTGGGCGTCGCTTCGCTGCTGATGAGCAAACTGCCAAAGTACCTTGGTGAGCAGGGGACATGGTGACGGGCCAAGACACGGTGTTCCTCTCTTGATGAGGGGACCCATCGTGTTTGTGTGACCTCCCGTTTTCATCTTGATAGGTAGGGATGGCTCGCTCACTTCTATCAGCTTTCCAGAACCAACGACTCGCCTCGTGAGACCTGATGGCCAAGTCTGTTGTCACCCTGCGAAACGCCCTCCCTAAGGAACCACCAACAGTCGCCTCCAGAGCCTTATTCAGCCTAAAGATGGCCCACCAATCGTCCTTGTTGAAAGCCTCCAGCACCGCTGGAGCTACGGTCACCGGGTGCCCTGCTTGCTCGGATGACATGCCGGAGCGATCGCCCGCCATCGCGAAGTCAACCGATTACTATTGCTACCTAACATTCGCCGAGATCACTTTCCGCAGGGTGGCATCACTCGCCTGGACCGGGCTTTGGTCGACCAACTTTCAGAGCTCGATACCCAATGAACTGCGGCTGAGGCTCGCGTCGTCTGCTATCGAGCTCCATTTGTCCATTGTCTTACGCAGGGACCAGCCTGGATGAGCGAGCCGGTGCCGAGCAAGATGATGCTCCGCTTCGACTCAGACGCCATGTCGTGCAGCGTAAACCCTGATTCGGTCCGTCCCCAGATTTTGCAGGCAGGGTGCGCCGCTTCACCAACACGAGAGAGAGGCTAATGACACGATGGCTTCTGCAGGAGGCTTGCACAACATGATGTTAGGTGCCAGTTGGCGGCGTGCGTCCTGACAGGGGCCTCGTGGTCATGATGATATGCAGACCACGCACCTGCACCGCACCCCTTGCATCGACCCTGTTCCCTTACTCCTGACTATGCTCACTTAACATGTCGGATTTTAATGATTGTCGCTCCTGACATGAGGTAGGCCGAGCGTGTTAATATAACAGACCAGAGCACTTCATTCTTTCCCTTTCATCCGCACCGCCCATTGCATTTGGCTCTCTTTCTGCACAGCACTTCCCATACCTACATCCTACTCTGACGTCGGACTTCCTCTCAGCGATTCGACCTTTTATTACACGGGGGTCTCTACTTTGTCTTGGTCTGAATCTGGCCAGCCTCAAACCGACGGAGCAGGGTGTACTCATAATTGCTCCCGCTCCTCCATTCGACTCGGCCCGTGCCTACCCTGCAGCGCCCGTCACCAACTTCAAGATGGCAGTGGCAACGCTGTCCCGTGTTCCGCAGCATCGGCGCGAACTCAGCAAAGGCCAGCTGTCACACAAGCCAGACATGGGCCCGGCCGTACCATCACGATGGATGACGTTCTTCCTGGGACTACCCGAACCCGTGAGAGACTGCCTGTTTGAGCACCTCGATTATACGACATCCTGCAACCTGGCCATGGTGTGCCGGTTCTTCGCCGACTCTGTCCAGCCCTGGAAAGCTGATGTCGAGGATAAAGTGGCCGCCGTGTTCCAGGCCGAGAGGTACTTCGCTCAGCACTTTCCTGGCACGAGCCACGACCGCGAGGACCCCAAGGCCGAGTCCCAGGGCAACTTTGGCTGCTTCCTCTGCCACCGCGTCCGGGGCCCTGAGCACTTTGACAGCGAGCAGCCGGCCACGGCCATCATGCACCAGATTGGCCTGCGCCCAGACGTCATCGCCAGGAGCCGCCGCACGTACAGGGCCTGCGCGCCCGACAAGTGCGTTCAGCATGCCGCGGTCGCAGGAGGCGTCCGGGGCGACCGGGACCTGTGGCTCTGCTCGTGTCGGTCCTCGCTCATCCACGCTGCCGGGGACTTTACGCGGGACGACGACAGACGCCTCGTCGTCGCGAAGCCGTCACGGCGGGTGCATCTGAGGCGGTTCTGCGTCGAGTGCGGCGTGCAGACGAATCTTCACAGGACGGGCGACCAGCTCACGACGAAGACGGGCCGCGAGCTGTGGGTTTGCTCGTGTCGGTGTGTCTGGGTCAAGGGCAACACGTTGAGTTCGCGACAGTGTCCACGATGTAGCGATCGGTGTCTCAGCTCGGTCAAGTCGAGTCGGCACACACCAAGCCGGGCGGTCGCGAGGCGGAGACAAGTACATTCATTGTGGACATGAAGGGCTCCAGATGGGAAAGCCAGTACTTGTAAACAAACAGTCGAGCCTGACCAGTGTTTGCATTCCGAGCACAGCACCGACTGTCGCCCACAGGTCTCGTGGCCATGCTGGTCTCGACGAGATGTTCATAATGCCTCTGCTGGCGAGAGGATATTCATTTATCTTACCAAAAGATCTGGTGGAAGTAATAAGATGGCGAGAAGGACCGATGCACGGCTAGATACAGAGGAAGACACAAAGAGCGATCTGACATGATTGGGGGGGTATTGCATCTTCGGCGTTAGGCTTGGAGTTTAGCGATTGATACTTGATAATTTGCGGCAGTGTGCCGATTTACAACACGTCGCTGGCAGTCTGCGCCTCCTTGGAGCCTTTCGTGACTGTCGCTCAGCTTGCCCATTCAATCAAGAGAGTAAACGGGTGGCTGGTCAATTGCGGACTGCCCCGATGCAGGGTCGGCTGCATGGGTGCTTGGCGTGAGCCGCGATACCATTGGTAGGAGGACGGTTCGACGGCATGATCCTTCGCTTCTGGCGAATGAAATGTGGTGGAAACGTCGCGACTTCGCCTTCAGCTCATGCGATCCTGCTTGCGTCTCTCCCACCTTCGAGCTGCTGCGCGGGACGTTGCCCAGCAGACTACAACGGCCGCGTCGCAATGGAATGGCCGAACCCATCGGAGCCATCAGCGGCGTAGCCGGCCTCATCATCTTCGCTACGAACCTCAGTGTCGGCATTAGCCGCCGCATCGACGCCGTCCGCGGGCTGCCGCGGACGCTGCAGGCGCTGTCGGCCGATCTCAAGGGCTTCGTCTCCGTCCTCGGCACCCTGCAAGGCTATCTCGACCACGAGGACACGAGGCAGGGCGTGCTCCATCCGGGCACGGTCGACGAGCTGTCCGACGTGCTGGAGGACTGCATCCAGGTCTTCACCGAGCTTAGCCAGCAGTTGAACAAGGACTTGAACGGATCCGGCGAGGCCTCGGCTGATGCCAAGATGAGCACGTGGCGGCGACTTCGGCTGTCTTTCCGGGACAAGGACTTTGAGGAGCTGAGGGCGAAGCTGGCGGCTCGAAAGCTGACGCTGACGGTCGCTGTGTCGGTCGCCAACTTGTGAGCACCATATCTATTCAGAAAGAAGCAAGGACACCGTTGCTGACTGGTCCATCAGCATCAACACGTCTTCCCACGTGGGTATGACGTGGCAGATGCAGAGCGATCTTCAGGTGATGAAGGCCGAGGTGTCCGCCGTGCTGCAGCGGCTCGAGACCATGCAGGCGAGCGAGTCTCTGCCGGGAGTCGCCAGCATGGCCAGCACTTCACTGGGATCCCAGGGCTTGTCGTTGATGCGTAGAAGAAGCGGCAGCCACAAGAGATCCAGTCGAGCGGGTTCGAGACAGGGTACGTCGATCGAGAAAGCTGACGGCCCTCAGAGAGCTCGGCTCATGTTGCACAGGACACTTGTTTTCGGAAACGGCATCGGTGAGCTCCAGTCTTGTGAGCTTCCATACTGCTGCTTCGGCGGTTCTCCAGACTGCCGTCGGGATGCCGTCATCGCCATACTACCACCAGTCATCGGTGGGGCTTACGGGAACTGCGTATCAGTATCAACCCGCGGGAACGGTCTTGCACGAAATGGACGGCGAGTCGACGTATGAGAATTACGATACCTTTACGCGTCGGAAGAGTACGCGCCGGAAGAGGTTGAGCGAAGACGGGACTGCTCCAGACCAGATATTCGAGGAGGTCTTGGCCGCACCGGTTTAGTCGGCAGCTGGGTCACAGCGATCCAAGGTACTAAGTGGCCTTCGGTCAGCCGAGGGACAATGGAGAGGCTGGCTGGTAACACAGGAGATGCCAATATGCCGGGGAACTCTGGCTTGAGCACGGAAGTGACATGAGCGAATGATCATAGTGGCTCTTGACACAATTCAAGCGCTGAAGCAGCAGGCTACAATCGCTGCTAGCCCGCAATAGAGGGAGCAGGCTGGGCTGTCGCCTCTATGCTGGCTGTTGAAAAGCAGGAAGGAGCTCTTTCCACTATGATATTCTCTTTATAAATGACAACCGTTACAGCAAACATGAAACCTCCAAACATCAAACTTATTCATTTACATGATATCTTATATGAAAACTATCGAAACCGGACAAGGACGACAGTGAACCGGACGAACATGACGGTAGGGAACGGATGATGGGGGGACAACGTTGTCGATCCGGATGCCAGGCGCAGAGATCGACAGGCTCTTCAGCACTTTTGGTGAGCTTGACCACTTTGGATAACGAATGTCATATCAAGGAACCGCTGTTGTGCTGGCTTCCTCTACAGAGTTCGCCAACAGAGGAAGTCAGAAGGCAACTTTAGCACTTCAGAAGCGCCCGTCTTCAGTCACGAACGATCTAGCCGAATCTCTGCCTGATACCATTCTTATTCTTCTTAGCACTCCAAAGCAAAGCGTTCACCATGGATATCTATAGCATGCAAAAGGTCCAGCGAGAGACTGCACAGCCAAAATTAGTCTCGGCCAGTATCGACGCTCTACTCCACCCTTTCTCAAGCATGACGCACACGAACGACCAGATCAACGAGATATTAGGCACACAGAATACTCTCCAGGTACCCCAAGAGACATGGCTACTGCCTAGAAGGAGGCATAATCTTACCACTAATCTTCATAGCCCGAGACCGCTACTACTCGCCGCGCCCGAGCCCCTCAGCTCAAAGCCTTGCCGAGCGAGGTCGTCTCGAAGCGAGCCGCTCCCCTCCTATTCGACAGTGAGTCGAGCGGCCTCAGTCTGCTAAACCTCCCTTCTAGCGACACGCATGAAAAGGAAAGCGAAGAAGAAAGTGATGGCATTCTCCTCGCCGGCCTCCCCCGTCAAACCGGCAACATCAAGCCCGGCCAGCCCCTCTTTAGCAACGAGTTTTTCGAAATCCGCAAGTCTCCGCTCGGCGGCATGGGCGCCTTTGCCGTACAAGACCTGGGCCCTGGCGACATGATCCTCATGGAACGCGCCGTTGTCCGGTCCACCGACGTGGACAGGGACCTCATCCGACACTTCACAAATCTGAGCGCTTCGGACAAGGGACTCGTTCTCGACCTCGCCATGCACAAACCCAGCCGCATAGCGCATGACGACTCGCTCCACACCCGACTCAAGGCCATCTTCACAACCAACTAGTAAGCCCCCATCTTTCACACCGCGGCGCAGAAGACATGCGGACAAGGTGGAGCATCCCCGGCTGACGTGGCTAGTTTCGCTTGCACGACCAAGGCGCCCGGCCATGGCCTCTTCCTCGTCGCTTCGCGCTTCAACCACGCGTGCCGTCCGCACATGAACGTCAACTATGGCTTCGACCGTGAGCTCGACGCCCTGGTCTTCACGGTGGCTGGAGGCCAGGTCAAGGCCGGCACGGAGTTGACCATCAACTACGGCAAGGACGCCGCGAGTCTGAAGGCCGTGTATGGGTTCGAGTGTGCGTGCGGCGGCGATTGCAAGATTTCCCGGCAGAGGCAAGATGCGCGTGAGTGGGGGATTGACCTGCAGTGATGACTATGGGTTCTCCGGGGGGGAAAGTGTGTTCATTGGCTTTCCTATGAGGCTGGGTGTTTGCTTATACTTGGATCACGGACGTGACGATTTAGGATAGCTTTGATTTTCGTGGGGGATATGTCTGTGAACCACGCACGTCTGGCGTTGCTTTTGGATCTGCAGACAGGTCTAGGAGGGTCTGGAAGCATCTCACATGCGAACCGACCGCGCTTCTGAACAGGACGGTTCAGACGGTGCAGGGTGGAGTTTTTAGATTTGACCAAGATCTATCGAAAGGTCGTTCTCAATCTAATGGCGCTTCGTACTGAATACGCTTTTGATTCCCAAACACACAGGCTCAGAGGGATAGTTCTACCTCGATTCAGTGAAGTCACATTCCAAACGATATATCCCGTTGGTAGAATCTGATACAGTCAAATCGGAAGGCGTCAAGAAGGCACAGTTTCCATGCTTGGCTTCAGACTCGATTCTCTGATCAACTCATCATACATTAAACCGTAGCACCGAGAAGCCGTTCCTTGCACAGTTATTCCAAGCTCGCAAGGAAGCTGACCCCAACCATATCTCGACTCCCAAACCATCGTATCGTAGCATGCATGGTCAGTCCGGACCCCTCACAGCACTACATCACCAACCTCGCCCTGCTTCAGCGCCTCAAGCAAAGCTCTGGCCGTGTCCCGATCCGCCCTCTCCTCCTCCCCCGCCGCCATCTCCGCCCACGCCCCATCCATCCACTCAGCCGCCTCCCCCCGCTGCTCCGAGCCATCAAAGTACATGCCGTCAAAGTCGCCCCCGGAACTGGGCGACACGCCGTGCAGGGGGAACGCAGCCATGACCTCCGCCGCGAGACCCGCAATGCCGTCCGAGGGCATGCCATTGCTGCCGCCGCCCATCATGTCAATGTCCATGGCGAGATCGTAGACCTGGTGGGGCGACGTCGCGTCCGTCGTGCTCTCGACCGAGTGGTCGCCCGCCGAAGCTGGCGATGTCGTCGATGTATCCTCGTCGGAGTGAACGGCTGTCACGACGCCGGGCTGAAGATTGAAGAGGGACGGGCGGAGAGTGCCTGCGTCAAAGTCGACGGCGTGGAGGGCGCTCGCGTGGGAGAAGAGATGATTCTGAGCCATTGCTGCTGCTGCTGCGGCGGCGGCGGCTGCCTCGTTGCGCTTCTGCTCGATGAGGGTGCGCAGCGCGTTAAAGCCACCTGTGAAGAGGCCGCGCAGGGAGACGGGGAAGTCGCCATCTTCGGGCAGGCGGCCCTTGGAGAGGGCGAGGTCCATGGTAAGTGCGAGGCGAAGGTAGGAGGATGGTTGGGACGCGAGAATGTCGGTCCAGTCGGAAATGGCCGAGCCGTCTGCTTGGTTGTTTGCACCGTCGGCGGGCGGGTCGATTTGCGCAAGGTTGACAATATGGCGGATCGTCTCGGAGACCAGGTCCACGCCGTCGTATTGTGGTTGATACGTCTTCATGGCTTCGATCAGAATGTTCAGGCGGTGCTGCTTCAGAGCTGACTGCGTATTTGGGTCAATCGCTGACGACCCGGATGATCTTTGTGCAGAGGAGGAGAGCTTGACGTCAAGGATATGAAGGACCAGTGGCAGGGCCGTACACGCTACCGCGCTGATGGGCAGCCAACGGGCGAGGCGGAGGTGGATGAGCTCCTTCAGACACTCTGTGACGCCCGAAGCTGCGTCCTGAAGCTCGTGGCGGTTCTCGCCAATGACGGCCAGGTCGCGGGAGGGGATCGAACTAAAGGAGGGCGCGGCAGCTGTAATGGCGAGGTGAAGGACTTCGTGGTGACTGAGAACGACACGGCTCGAACTGATGTGGTGTTAGTGCGGGCTCAAGAGGGGCCAAAAGTGCCTTTCGACTTACTGGTAATACATGTACATAAGGTTGGTGTACAGGATAACCGAATCGTGCTGGAACTCCTTGCCACCGCCCCCTGCATTCATGCGGGCGACTGAGCCACCGCCAAACATGGGGAATCGCAGCGTGGCGCTCTTGTACCACCGGCGTAAGTCGAGTTTGTACTCGCGAAGCTTGTCTTGCTCCTCGGCCTTTAGTTCGCGGCCCCATCCAGGGCTGTCATCGATGGGGAACACCAGTATCAGGATATCTGTCAGAACGACGCAAAGCTCAACCAGTTGCTCCAATATCTCTGCGAGACAGCGTTTCGTCCCCGGGTTGTAGGCACGCGAGCGTTCAATCTCATCCGAAAGATCGGCGTATCCGAGGATGCTGTTCTTGTCAAAATCGAAATGGGCGCGCGTGATCTGGAGAGGCCGGCGGATCCCGAGGCCCATGATCCTATCGCGGGTGATGCAGCACCACCACAAACGCTTGAGCGTGTTCTGAATGTGGGCGGGCGCGGCATCGTAGTGATGGGCCTCTGCCGTCTTGGCGTTCTGGATGGCGATCGCGAGCCACTGTGTGTTCGGTTTTCGGAAGCTGTGCGAGGCCGGTGCGGACCAGTGCGTGAGGAGTAAAGCGGCCTGGGCTATGGACAAGGGTGAGGATTCGGTTTCGAGGTCGTAGAGGAGCTTGGCTCGTCGGTAGAAGGATGCTCGGGCGGCGCGGATGGTCGGGTACCCCAGGGCCTTGATCGATTGACGAGAGACGAACTAGACATGGGATTAGCACATATGATGAAGCATTGTTTGAAGACTATACTAACATTAGCTGTCGAGAAGAGCATGGCTTGGAACACCAGTAAAGAGATTCGCTCCTGTTGCAAGCCCTTTGAGCCTCCGTTGCAGTACATGTCCCAGAAGTCGCCTTCATTCAGCAGCGGGAGCATGGGGTGAACGTGGAGGAAGTATTGCTGGACAAACTCATCAAGGATTGCCCTCGTTGGCATCCGCAGGCAGCCTTGAAGTTCGATAAAGTTGACATCCTGGGGAGGAATGTGATGAATGTTGCCAATGGCGAGGAAGGGATAATAGGAGTACGTAACGTCGGAGGTCATGATGGAGTGTTGCGGCTGCTCGGACGTACTTGTCCATTGCGTTGCTGGTACTGGGTTGAAGGAATTGGAGACGGAAAAGGTGCTTGTGAAGGCTCCCTTGGTGCTCGTCGCGACAGGCTTGGCGGTATGGGATGTTTTGGGAGGAGGATGATCGTGGTGGCATGAGCCATGGTTCTCTGTCGCTTTTGGTTGCGGCGCTTCGCCGATTGCCTCTGGTGATGAGTCGTCAACAAGACCGGCGAGTTCCCGACTGGCCAGGTCCCGGGACGCTGTGGAGTGTTCATGAAGGCCCTTGCCGTCATCGCGAACCACAGGTGGATTCAAGTGGTGTGTAGTAGCAGTGTCCACTGCATGCTGGTGAGTCTCATCGCCCTGGTGAGGGGGGTATGAAATTTGTATTTTCCCTGCATCCTCAGGCGGCGGTCGTCTATTTTTCACAGTCAGATTGACTCGAAAACAGACTCGTCCAATATGAGGACAAGACAAAGATAACGCGTATATACTCACAACCTTGACGCTCGGCCAGTGACAACACAACTCTCGCTGTCGAGATAGCAGTTCATGCATGGGCGTCCTCGTTGAGAGACATCACACCTCACTTTCCTCGCGCGGCATGACAGGCAGGCTTTGGGGGCTCGCTTGCGAGTCTTGGCCGGGGCCTTGGCCGTGGCCGTGGCCTCGACGGTTGCTGTCTGCGTGGTAGCCATTTTTGGCCGAGGGTTGAGAAGGGGGGTTCGAGGTAGATATCCTCTCTGTTCATGCGTGGGAAAGAATTGGCCGAGGTGAACAAGGGCAAACCGACTTTGACGAGGTAAAGAAAGTTGGGAGGAGGACGAGGATAAAAAGGGTCACCGTGGAACGTCAGGAGGCGCGTCAGTCTGGGGGAATCTGGATGGAGCCAACGCCCAAGATGATCCAAGTACGGTAGCTCGAGGCCAGGGTAGACCACCATCAACTCAGCGGGACTGCGGGGTGTGGGGGATAGAGCCACCCGCGGATCTGGAAATGAGGGGGAAATGGAGTTAAAGAGGATCAGAATATCGGGGATGGGTCGTCGGTAACCCTAGAACGGGCAAGCGGCTCGTCGTGGGACATGCTGGATGCTCGAGCTTCAGGCGAGGAGGGGGCGTCATCGTCCAAGCTCACCTTGCTGCTCTCGCTGGATAACTGCTCTCGCTAGGCAAGAAACTGAGCAGCACCGGCATTCCCGTTTCTGTCAACAGGCAGTGCCCCTCATATCGCCGAACGGACTTAGCAGAGTCGCTCTTGTCGAAATACATATTCAAGTCAAGTCGAGGCCACTGTTGAAACGTTTCTCGACGCAGACGGCCAACGCCATCAGCCATGTCCTCGTCCATGGGCCACTACCACTTGGTCTCACTCGCACCCCACCACCTTGGCTTAAGTCCGATGACTGAATACGCCTAGGGTCGCGAATCGCTCATCGAATTGGGGGGGAGTTTTGGAGTGGCGTGAGTCGGGGGGTTTCTGGAATGACTGATTGCCTGACGTCGAAGCTCAGGCTGACGCTGGCGCTCAGGAAAGTGAGAGTCGAGGGCACCTTGGTGGTGTTGAGCCAGGAGCGAAAATGGAAACGATTTGCCGAAGAGCCTTGGGCCAGGCCGGTAAACGAGAACCCGCAGGTCCGGGCAGGGCGGGTGCAAGGCCACTGACTCAGTGAGCGAGCGTCTTGGCACGCCCTCAGTAGTGATGACTGAGTCAGGAATTCTTCATCGTGATCATAAATTGCCTGTTGCATCGAAAGCTGAATCATTGGGCAATTTGTGACGAAGGGCTCCTTGACAGGAAGTCTTTAAGAAGGTCTTCACAAAAGTTGACAATGGGCAGGGAGGACTTGGACGCGTCCCCGTCAGGAAGGACCCCAGCTTCCCCAGCACCTGGCTTACTCACACCATCAGGTGAAGACCGGGCAAGGTGAAGACACCGAGGCTCCGCCCCTCACCGACAGATGTTCTGATTCTGGGTTAGGGCTGGTGAAGCCTATTGCGGTGAAGCCCATTGATTTGACGTAACCGATGGGAGGAGGATCTTCTGATGCCCGAATACTGTTTGGCTTGCTATGACCGCACCGATGTAACAGGGCCTCCCTTCATGTCCTTGTGCCAGGGCCATCAAAATCAACATGAAAGCCGTCAGCCTCCTCTCGCCTCTCCTCCACTTGTGCTGGGCCTCGCATCCACCCAGCGCCCAGGTACCCTTGCTTGACAATGACGATGTTGATCTGACCGACAGCAATCATTACTCCGGCATCAGGACATTTGCGAACCTGCCGTATGTCAATTGCTTCTCCAACCGAGACGCAAAGGACCACAAGTACGACATCGCCATCCTCGGCGCCCCGCATGATACTGTTCGTTCACCTCATACTGCACCCAAACCTGTAGCTAGTATAAGGTACCTACCCTGTGCTGACCATACCTGAGACGACAACAGGCCGGCCAGGCGCTCGCTATGGCCCGTCTGGCATCAGGACCGGCAGCCAGCGCAAGGGTCCCGAATGGAGCATCTACACTGGTACATCCCCTCCCTCCCACACAGGATCTCCCTCGATGCTGACGAGCCCCCAAAGGCCGCAACCCCCTCGCCGACTGGGCCACGGTAGTCGACTGCGGCGACGCCCACCTCACCTGGCTCGACAGCCGCGTCTCCCTCCAGCGCCTCGACAAGGCCCACGAGGTCCTCGCTGGCCGCCCCGCCGCCAACGCCTCCGTCTCGGCGACGCCGCGCATCCTCACGCTCGGCGGCGACCACACCACGACCCTGTCCGCCCTGCGCTCGACCTCGGCGCGCTGGGGCCCCGTCTCCGTCATCCACTTTGATAGCCACATCGACACCTGGGACCCGGCCGTCCTGGGCGGCGACATATCCGACTACGCCGCCCTCAACCACGGCACCTTCCTGCACGTGGCGCACGAGGCGCACCTCATCCTCAACTCATCCGTCCACGCCGGCGTCCGCGCGCCGCTGGTGCGCCGGAAGGGCGATCTCCGCAACGACGCGCGCTGCGGCTTCGCCATGGTCACGGCACGGGACATTGACGCGCTCGGCGTCCAGGGCGTCGTTTCGAGGATCCGCGAACGCGTTGGCGATTCGTTGGTGTACATCAGCGTCGATATCGATGTCCTCGATCCGGCCTTTGCGCCAGGTACGCTCCCCTGTCCTCCGCCCCCTTGTTGCGATACTGGGTGAGATGAGGGGAGAAACGGCGAGACTGACGCTGGGCAGGGACTGGCACGGCTGAACCTGGTGGCTGGTCTACGCGCGAGCTGCTGGCGATCCTCGACGGGCTTGAGGGCTTGCCTGTTGTGGGCGCGGATGTCGTCGAAGTGGCTCCGGCGTATGACACGAATGGCGAGATTACCGTGCTTGCTGCTGCTGAGATTGCGTACTCGCTGGTTGATCTCATGGTGTTTCGGCCCGTGAAATCCAAGGCGGATAACGGGGAGTGATATGAGCCTTCTTGGCGAATCGTTGCTAGAAAAGACTTGGAGTCTAGATCAAGATGGGAGGTCCGATGGAGCGAGTTTTCGGCTAAATTGCTGCGAAGAAGGTCGACAGACCAAGAACAAACAAAAAAAAAACCACCTTTGCAGAGCTCGTGTTTATTTGAGCAAGCAACCTAGCATTCACTAGCAAGTTCCGCAACGCATCAAGCAAGAAAAGGCGAAGGATATCTATTGGGAGGATTCTGAACTGCCACCCCTGTTTTTGTAAAGCCACGCCAAACGCCCAACAATGCTACCATGCCAGAGTACACACACAACAATCCGGAACCTAATCCCAGTACCTGATGAGCCCGTCCATGCCGGCCGACACAAACTTGCTCGACTCCTGCGGGTGCCACGCGACGCACGTGACAGCCTCGTCGCCGGCCTTGAGCTTGTGGTACATCTTGCACGTCTTCCAGTCCCAAAAGGCGACGAAGCCGAGCGTGTCGCCCGACGCGAGGAACTGCCCGTCGTGGCTGACGGCCACGTCGATGGCCGTGCCGGCATTGTTGTGGCCGCGGTACGACTTTTTGCGGTTCTGGCGGAACTTGTCGTTGGCGCCATAGACGACAATCTGGTTGTCCGAGCTCTGGTACGCGACGTACTTGCCGCTCGGGTGCGGCGCCGCCCGCGTCATCGGGTACATGTACGGCTCGGCAATGTACTTGATCGGCACGGGAATGTTGTAGTCCCACGCGCGCAGCGACTTGTCGTCCGACGTTGTCATGAAGCGGCGGCCCTCGTCGACGAATGTGATGGTGTTGATGGCGGCCAAGTGGTGGTCTGTCAGGGATTAGTTTGGGGCGATCAGAGAGGTGAAGGCCTATTTTTGTTAGACAAAAAAAAAAAAACGCACCGTATTCCTGGACGATTTCGTTGCCCGCCCTCGTGTCCCACTGCACAATCTTCTTGTCCGACATGCCGGCGACGAACTCGTGCGCGTGCTCGGCCGTCGGGTTGAAGCGCACCACGTGGGGCGTCTTGCCCGTCGAGAAGCGGCTGATACACGTGCCCGTTTCCGTATCCCAGAGCTTGATCTGCCGGTCAAAACTCGCCGACAGAAACTGCGTGCCGTCGATGTTGAAGGTCGCATCCGAAATGGCCTTTGTGTGTCCGGAATACGTCCGCAGGAGCTCCCGCTGGTGGTACACGTCCCAGATCTTGACCGTCGAGTCCGCCGAGGCCGAGAGGAGCAGGTGGCCCGACTCGGGGAAGAAGCGTGTCGCCGTGACGGCCTTGGCGTGGTCCTTCCAGACGTGGATCTGCCGCTTCGGGATAAAGTTGGTGATGCTGCCGACGTCCTTGCGCAGGTCGACGTCCAGGTCCTGGGGCACGTGCATGTAGGTCCGGCCCTGGTAGTCGCGCTCGGCGGCCCCGTGGAACGTCGTCGTCTCCTCGCCGAGCGCCTCGACCTCCTTGCGGCGCGCGAGGGCCGATTCGGGCGCCTGCAGGACGGTGCCGCTCTCGACGACGTCGTCCTCGTCCGTCACCTCCTCGTACTCCTCGTCGCTCGCGAGCGCCTCGCCCTCGCCCACAATCTCGTACTCGGGCCGCTTGTACCGCGCCCAGGGCCCGACGTAGGCGCCGTCGCCCTCGGCGATCGCGGCGTCGCCCTTGCCCTCGCGGCCCGCGCGTATCCTCTCGGCCTCCTGCTTCACCTGTGCGCCGCTCTGGTATTCCCGTTCCGGCCCACCCTTGCGTTCGATGGCGCGGTGCTTGCTGCGAAAGGTGTGCTCCGACACGTGCGTCTCCTCGGCGAAGCCCGTGAGGACGTTCTTCCGCTTGAGGGCGCTGTTGGCGCTCTCGTCCTTGAAGGGGTTCGCGGGCCCCATCCGTGGTCGCGCGAGGTCCTCGCCCGAGTAGGGGACGACGGCGTGGTCGGCCTCGGCTTCTCGTCGTACGATCAGCGCGTCCTGGGGCGCCATGTTCGGCGGGTAGTCTCCGAAGCCAGACATGCTGGGCGGCCTGTCGTGAGGGAATGGCGGCACGTGTGGTCTGTCGTTTGGGCGATTAGGCAGGGGGAGGTCAGGTTACAAAATGTTTCGTCCTCTGTCGCGGTCGGCAGAGGTTTGACGTGACGTAGGAAACGGAAGGTCACGTGATCGCAAATGGGATTCGAGCTCGAACGTCCCCACTTGGCGGCCACAGAACAAACAGGATTCGGACGGATGCAGGACCGGAGCTGGCGATAGATGGAGGGCGATGGAAGGAGAATGCGAGGCAGCACGCAGTATGCGCAGCTAGCTGGCACGGAAAGCGTTACACAATCAAAGGGGGAAAATCCAAGAGAAACTCTTTGTCCAGATAGTTGTCATTACTCAATCCTATGCCACGCGCCCCCGGCTTCAGGCTGGAAAGCTGCCTGCAAGCAACAGAAAACAGATACAAGGTATTGGTCTTCGCATCATAACCTCCCAATTCCCAAACAGCTGAATGAGTCTCACATGTAAACCGGAGCACCTCGTCATCGACCGCGTAGTAGAGGGGCGTGAAGCTGTAGTCCATGCACACCTCTCTATTCTTTTTTTCTTTTTTTTCGGTCGCCGTCTCGTCGGTGCTGTCAGACGTTACCCAACATCACAAACACCGCCGCTCCGTCCCCCTTCCTGCTGGTATCTCATGACCGTGTCTAGTCCGGTGGCCCGGTACGCCTTTGCCTAGCGCACCCTCGAAAGCAGCCCTCGCAAGCGCATCTAGAGGATAGTCGTTCGTCCATCGTCTCGTCTGGTTTTCGTATCGTGCCGCGAGAATGTCGCGCCATGTGCCGAAAGCCGTCCGCGTCGATGCTGGAAAGCGCATGGCGCTTATTTGGTGTCGTCCCGGATGAGAGCGACAATCATGCTGTAGAGGTAGAAGAAGAAGAGCAAAAGGTGGAAACCAAGCTTGACGAAGGATTCCTGCGCAGCGAGTCAGCTTGTGTGCGGTTGAGCGCGCTCGTCCTGGAAGAGCTCACCTTCTTGTGCACGTTCAGCTTCCTGAAGATCTCAGTAGCGTCCAGCAGGTGGGTGTTCTCAACGATCCTGTGTCACTGGGTCAGCGAGCACTCTTCGCGCCAAGGCCGAGGGGCAGTCGTACTTCTTGACATTCCACGCAAGGAGGGGAAGGTTGAGGATCAGAGGCAGCCAGTATCCGTTGATGAGGAAGAGGAATGTCATGAAACCATGAACAGCAGCCTCGGGGATGATGTAGGTGTTCAGGCGGTTGCAGAGGTCAATGGGGTTGATGTAGTCGCTGCGCGTGCCGAAAGGTTAGCCATAGTTCAAGCCTGGGAGGAGAGGGCGCTGCTGTGGCGAGACGTCAGGCGCAGCAGCAAGGAGGAGTGCGCGTACCATTCCAGATCGCTGTACATGATGGTGAAGAAGACTTGAAGGAACAGGTTGACGGCGTTGATCAGCACCGCAAAGAGGTATAACCACGCCTCGCCGGACATTTTGACGGTTGATCGTTCTGTCGAACAGAGAAGTTGTTGGTGTTGGTGGTATGTGTCAAGGGGGAACCAAGGTCACGACTCGAGCACCGTCGAGATCGGTGGCGGTTGGGGGAGGGGAGCTGCTGGTAGCTGCTGTGTGCAGACAGAGCTCGAGGGTCGGGGGAGGGAAGAGGTCCGAGGATGATACTTCTCGAGACGAGTCTGGTTCTGCGACGGGTCCTGTTGCCTGGAAGAGCCAAGTGAACAGGTTGCGGGATCGCGAAGTCGAATGTGGTGTTGATGGTGGGAAAATTGAGAGGTGGGCAGTCGAAATCGGGGAAACTGGGGCGAGACGGCTGATGATGAATGATGAAAGACCTGGACCCGGAGGCGGCTCGATGGCCTTGCCTGGTCCCTCCCCCCGGGGGCACGCTGGTGTGATGGGCGCTGCTGGGTGCTGGGTCTTGGAGCTGGCTGGCGTGTGGAGTGGTCCTGGCCAGTCGCCGGTGGTCGGTGGCCGGTTCGGTGGACACCGAATTTTAATCGCGCGGCGGCCAATCCAGCCCATCAGCAACTGTTCGCTTGCGGAGGCGCGCTACAACCACTGTTTTCGGGGACTGCTTGGGGCGCTCTGGCCACCCGGGACTCCCCTGTACCGTGCGTCCGCCAGGGAGCCCGCTCGGTTGGTGCAGGGTGTGCTGGTCCCCTGCGGGTGGGTGGTTGGGCGAGCAGGGCAGGAGGGGCAATACTGGAGCACCACAAGGTACTACAAGAGGGCTAGAGGGGATTCATCATCACGCAGGTGGCTGGGTGATCCCCCCACAGCCTGGTTGACAGCTCAGTCGTCACGTCACCGAGGCCAGATAAGAGGCACATGGCCACATGCTCACGTCGGCATCGGCCTCTGCCTGGTGCCTGACCATATGGCAGCCAAGGGCAAAGATCGGAACAAAACTTTTCTCCCACCTGCTGCCGCGCAGCTCGCTGTCTATGCTCCCCAAACGCCCTCATCCACCGAATATGCTCGCCCACCGGGATCGAATCACTATGCGCTTCCATTTGCCGCGACTTCGGGCATCGGGATGGGTCCACCGGGCGAGTCCGCGGTCCTGGCTGTCAGGACCTCGACTCCGTCTTCCGTCACGAGCAGGGTGTGTTCTGTTCCGACGTGTCAGCACCACTGCGTATTGCCCGTTCTGACCATGAGGTGACCTACCAAATTGCGCCGTCCTCTTGCCGTCAATCGTCGTGCTCGTCCAGTTGTCGGGCCAGGTGACATCGCGGTACTTGCCAAGCGCAATCATGGGCTCAATCGTAAACGTCATGCCGGGCTTGCACTCGCCCACCGCCTTGTTCTTGGCGTAGTGAGGCACGTTGGGCGGGCCGTGGAAGAGCTTGTTGATGCCGTGACCACAGTAGGTGCGGATGACGCTGCAGTTCTTCGCCTTGGCGTGCTTCTCGATGATGTTGCCAAACTCGCGGATCAGGGTGCCTGGCTTGACGGCGGCGATGGAAAGGTCGAGACACTCGCGCGCCGTCTCGACAACCCTGACCGCATCCGGGTCCGCCTTGGCCCTGTCGCCGACGTAGTACGTCTCGTTCAGATCGCCATGATAGCCGCCGTGGAAGAGTGACACGTCAATGTTGAGGATATCGCCGTCCATCAGAAGGCGCTGGTCGGGAATGCCGTGGCAGATGACCTCGTTGGGCGACGTGCAGACGGACTTGGGGAAGTGGTTGTAGTTGAGGGGCGAGGGGTAAGCCTGGCGAGGGAGGGTCAGCAACTCTTTCCGTGTGTTACCGCCCGATCCTTATACTCACGTCTCTTTCAATGCACGCCTTGTGGACAACCTCGTCGATGTAGTCGGTTGTCACGCCAGGCTTGATCGCGGCAGCCGCAATATCGAGGACCTCGCGCGACAACCGGCACACCTTGCGCATGGCGGCAATGCCCTTGGCATCGAGAATCTCCGCCTTGTTCCTGTTGATGATGGACCTGCTGTACTTGGGAATGCCATCCTCAGACCAGTCGGGGTGCGGGATGTGCTTCGGGACGGTGCGCTTTGCGGAGAGGGGGTAGACGGGGCGCAGGGAGCCGGTGTAAGGGTAGGTCGGGAAGGGGTTGAAGTAACCGGTCTCTGGGTCAGGTTTAGAGACTACGCTCGGCGGGAGGATGTGGTGGAGTATACTTGTCTGCGACTTGTGCATGCTCTTGTGGGTTCCCTTGGAGAAGGTTAGTAGTGTGTTGGATGATCAGCGCAGGCGGCGACCGCGAGCTCACCCAGTTCTTCTTGAAGCAGTCCTGCGAGCAGAAGAAGCTGTCCTTGATGCCGACCTTCAGGCACGTTGGGCATTGCAAGGAGCCGGCATCATTCGAGCAGTCCTCGCCCATGCACTTGCGCTTCGCGGGGGGTTCTTCAGCCATGGTGGCGGGACGATTTTGTTGCGAGTGGCGGGGTGAAGACGGCAACTCTCGAGAGGCGTTGGGGCAGTTGGCAGGTGGAGGAAGTAGGAGAATAAGGCAAATCACTTGAAGAACCGTCAGAAAGACGGTAGAAAAAAAATACTCTGCGATTTCCAGGACGGCGGGGAAAGAATTCGCGACAGTCGCAGGTGGCAGGATTTCGCGGTTCGACTCTGAATGCCGTTTCCAAAAAGTCGTCGCTGGTGCTGTTGGTGTGATAGGTGATAGGCACAGCCAGCACCCCACCCCTCCCTCGGCAGGCCGTCGCGAGCTTTAGTCATCAGAACCGCAAGTCGCCGGCCGGATGGCCTCAGTGACCCAGGCTTGCCAGGGAGTGCCTCACTAGGCCTAGGGAGTGTCTCCTCGGGAGTGAGCGCCTGCTGGTGGGAAGAGCTCCCGGCAAATGGGAACCATCTTATCTAAGCGTCGTGATTAACCGGCAACGGCGGTATCGCTCGAAAGCCCGTCCCAGCACAGTCTAGGTCGTTACCCAAACATCCGACTCTGCGAGTGAATCATGCATTTCTCTCTCATCGACAACTCCCTTTTGTCGCCGTCACTCGCTCGCTGACCTGTTGTCAACTGTTGTCAGCATGGTCCTGAAGCAGAAGTTTGTCGTCGTTGGCGCCGGCCCTGTTGGCTCTCTGGCAGCGCTCTACGCGGCTAAGCGAGGCCATGATGTAGAGATTTATGAACTGAGGCCCGGTAAGTCCCATTGGCTCTAGAGTTGTCATGGCTGAGTATGCGTTTTTGTCGCGTGACGGAGCCGTCATCGTCACAATTCCCGCAAAAAATGTTTGCCTGTCTTCCCGAGTGCTTGGTACCGTCGATGGTGATCGGCGCGTTTCGAATCACCTTGCAGAATCTCAATTGCTTTTCATTCTGTCCTGCCACATTGCATCCTAGTCCCTTTGAGTTGAAGGGTCTTTCGTTCCCTACGAAGTCAAGATGGCTGCCGGAGCTGCTCTTTGACTTGATCGCACCACTGACAAAGAACTTAGATTTGCGAGACCCTACAACGACACTGCTCAACTTCACTCGCTCCATCAATCTTGCTCTGTCAGAGCGTGGCATCAATGCTATGCGTCACGCTGGCCAGCCGAGGTTGCTGGAGCACGTGTTTGGTGCAACCATTCCCATGCGCGGCCGTATGATCCACGGCCGTGGTTCCAATGGTGACCTTTACGAAGCTGCACAGGATTACGATATTCATGGACGTGTACGTTGTTGACGTGGAGAATGCCGTAGACTCCGCCAAACTGACCCAAAGCAGACGATTTTCGCTGTCGACCGAGCTGGCCTCAATAAGCGGCTCCTCGATATTCTTGAAGACATGCCCAATGTCAAGTTCTTCTTCAGCCACAAACTCACAGGTGCCGATTTCAAGAAGCGCAAGGCATGGTTCGAGGTCATGACGTCCGAGTCGGCCACCGGCAGGGCGAGGGAGATTGAAATCGACTTTGATCTCATGATTGGCGCTGACGGCGCCCACTCAGCCGTCCGGTACCACATGATGAAGTTTGCGCAGCTGAACTATCGACAAGACTACATCGGCACGCTGTGGTGTGAATTCCACATTAAGCCTGTCAAGGTCCGCTCGGATGAGAACCCGAATGCCGTCTTTAGGATATCGCCAAACCATCTCCACATCTGGCCCGGCAAGGACTTCATGTTCATCGCCATTCCCAGCGATGTGCGTCAAATTCCCAGATTCAACTTGGAGAGCTCTCGGGCTAACATGCTACAGGACGGATCCTTCACTTGCACGCTCTTCCTGCCCAGCGCGCAAACGTTGGCCCTCGAGAAGAACCCCGCCAGCATCCCTGAGTTCTTCGACAAGCACTTTCCCGGCGTCACGGAGCTCATCCCTGGCAGAGAGCTCATCGAGTCCTTCGAGAGGAATCCTCACCTGCCCCTCATCAGCGTCAAATGCAGCCCGTACCACTACAAGTCCTCCGCCGTGATTGTCGGCGACGCCGCGCATGCCATGGTCCCCTTCTACGGCCAAGGCATGAATGCCGGCCTCGAGGACGTCCGCGTCCTCTTCTCCATTCTCGATAAGCACGCCGAAGCCGAGTCAAACAGCCCCCTCGACGACGACGACGACGACGCCGCCAGCGCCTCCGCCGCCGCCGCCTACGGTCGCGAGGTGGCCCTCGCCGAGTACACGACGAACCGCGTGCCCGACGCGCACGCCATCAACGACCTGGCGCTGCAAAACTACGTCGAGATGCGCGCGTCGGTGCTCTCGCCCAAGTACCGCCTGCGCAAGTGGCTCGAGGAGATGATGTCTGTCTACCTGCCGGGCCTCGGCTGGCAGACGAAGTACTCGCGCGTCAGTTTCGAGAACCAGCGCTACTCCGAGGTCGTGGCACAGAGCGAGCACCAGGGCGAGGTCCTCGTGTCCGTCTTTGAGGCGCTCGTCTGCAGCCCGTTCATCGTCGGCGCCGTTTGGCTGTGGTGGAAGCAGCCCAAGTGGATCGCGAGGACGTATCAGGCGTGGACGGAGAAGGCCATCATGGCTGCTTTCGAGCGTCTTTGACGTGGCTTGGTGTGTTTGCGTAGTGTACCGTTTCAAAATCTCAAGATACCTCGTGTTTGTGTCGTTTTGATCGTTTCGAAATGCCTCTCCACATTTCATCATCATTTTTTGCCATTGCTCTGGAAGTGATTGCTCTGATACAGTGGTCTGGAGATGTTGGCAAAGGAGAAGTCACCTGACGTCTATCTGTCTTGAGAACTTACGCAGGAAGAAGACGTGCTTCTCAGCGCAAGGATGCCAATAGCTCGAGAGCACCAGGCGTACCCTTCCATGCTCGGAGTGAATGACTTCTCGCAGCGTGCGCCTCTTCCCTGGAACCTACTACGTACGATGCGGCTGCTATGCCAGGGTCAGTATCAGGCTGTGCCATCGCATCCAGCAGGTGTTTATTGGCCCGGTGCACGGCGGTCACCACCTCGCGGACCTGTCTCGCGAGCTCGTCAACAACGGGCTTCGGGTCCTCGGCCAGAATCAGCAGAGAGTCAGAATGGCGAGTAATGGCGCTGCTGTGATGTGCCGCTTCAAGGAGAGCGATCTTCTCCTGGACTGTGCAACCTGCTGCGCCGGCGACAGCCTTTTCTGCGCTCTGCAGTGCAAAGAGGAGGCGAATCTTGATCAGGGCCAACGAGTGAAGCTCGAGCGTTCCGGCCGACTTCCGGCGCACAAAGAGGTCGACGGGCTCGAGGGCATTGGCATTCTCGAGGTCGAGAAACGGAGAGTCGGGCATGTCTTTGAGATGGCTCTCGTCGTCCGCGTGGGCGACCCACCACTTGACAAAGTCATACGCCTCCTGCTCTCTGCCGAGGTGCACCATGACGGAGGGCAGCTGGTGGCGCAGGCCGAGTTCATCGCTGCGGTTGAGACGTAGCATGTCCAGGCCGTGGTCGAGCGCCTCCTCGAGACTGGGCACGGTGTCCAGGTGGATGAGGGTCTGCGTCAGCGCGTAGCGAGCCCGCATATAGGGCCGCGTCTCTGGAATGGCGTAGAAGTGGCCGACGGAGGTCTCGAAGACGTTGGGCGGCGTGAAAGGGTCGGGCTCGGCATTGCGAAGGTCATCTTCGGCATCTTCGTACGCCTTGCGACGGGCCCCGACGAGCTTGCAGGTCTTCTTGTGCGAGGACCACTGTGACGTCTGGCAAGGCTTGCTGCAGTAAAGGACGCCTGTACAGCCGGCACATCGTTGGAGGCTGCCGCTGGCAGTGCCACATGCCTGGCAGCGAGGAAGCGGACGAGGTGCTCCGGGAGTGTATTCGAAGGGGCTGCCTTGTCGAATGGCAGCGTCTGAAAACTGCATGATATCGAGATTGTCGTGGGGGAGACTGTCCAACGGCTAATGACCATGGAGACATTTCTTTCGTCGATCGCGGTTCCAACGCATCAGACGCGTCGTCTCCACGGTAGACGCTAAAAAGGAGGGGGTTCTGAGAGGGGCTCTCGGCCCCCCCCCCCTCACCCCACGCAGACCCAGTGGCACCTTGATTTTAGGGGTCTTTCGAGACGCCACAGCCCTCCGATGAGAGCTCGCTTCAGAGGCCCAAGCTGTCAGTGCTATAAATCCCCGCGGCTGGGTACCAAGTACGTAGCGAGGCGCCGCCTAACAAGTCATCTCTGGACAAGACAGACAGGTCACACCCAGGTGATCTCCGTGTAGTAGCTGCAGCTGGGGCGAGAGAGCATGAAACTGTTGAAGAAGCTAGCATCAGACGCCGCAATAAATCACGCTTTCCCATGCCACCGTGAACCTTCTTTCCACCAATGCGGCACGTCAGGACCTCAGTGTCCGGCTCAAGCCGAGAGAATGACACTCTCCAGTGGAGCGTTGGTGACACTCTCCAGTGGAGCTTCGGTTGAAATGGTCGAAATGGTGGGTGGTGATGGTGGTGACGCCCCCCTGCCCCAGGTCATCGATCCTTGTGCCATTGGCCAATGGCACCACAAAGGCCACCACCCCAAAGCACCGAGCATCTCCAAGCTTCTCTCATGCAAGCACCTCTTCCCTTCCCCTCCAAACACCCCACGTCAACCACCTCCGTCTCGACCACCACCACCACCAGCAAGAGCCCAGACAACGACGAGCGATAAGACGCACTGGCGTCTCCTCTCAACCATCCGTTTGGCCCGTCACGATCCACCGTTGCATCCCATTAATCACGCATTCCGTCACGATGCTGTGTTCCACGAAACAGACTTCCTCCCTCGCCTGAGTCTTCCCCGCTCCCTCCTTGATGCAGCCGAGCGGGGGGCTCCTACCCGGCCATGACCCGGATATAAAGAGCTGGTCGTCCTTGAGAGACATCTGACGGCCAACCCTCATCCTTCTCTTTCTAAACCTTCGACATCACCAGATTCCATCTTCTACACCACGGAAGCATCACCAGACCACACACTACTACACACATCGTACGCAGAGCAAGCTCTTCAGCACTGCCCCTTGACCCCCTCCTTCCGGACCTGTACTGATTCTCTCCTTGTCCGCAGTCCACCTTGACGGTACGCCTCTCGCCGAAACCGGCAGAGAGAGCAATGGCCACGCAAGGGTTATCCGTCAGGCGTCGTGGCCTCGTGCCATGACGAACGTTCAAGTTCTTCATTATCATCAGGTACTTTGATATCTGTTGTGAGCAATGAGCCGGTGTTCGGGTTTTGCATCTCTCGGTCGCTCTTCCATCCACCCGCCCCGACATGGACACTCTTCATGTCCATCCCGAGGCGGAGATGGTGGACGCCCTTGAGACACAATGCAATCCT